TTAAATTTGTCGTAGACATGTTTTCGAAGTTAACATTATCCTCAATAGATTTTTTGGGCGTAGACCTTCTACCAAGAGGATCGCTTACTCACCTAGAATATGCCAATGACATATTCTGACAAAATTCAGTCTTCTGAATACCCTAAGCAACAATGAAAGCATTTTCGGGATGCGGTTCTCACACTCAAAATGCAAACTGTTACTTCAAGACTGGGTTTCATCGGTACCTGAACTAGTGATAGGGAGTGAAGTAGTCAAGTGTGTCGACCGCTTCACTTATCTTGTTAGTCTCATCAGTGCTGATGGCCTGGTGACTAAAGAAATCTCAGCACGGAATGAGAAGGCTCGATTGGCTTTCGCCAAGCTGCGTCAATTATGGCATAGACGAGATATCCGATTGCTGACTAAGGGACGAGTGTAATGCGCAGCAGTTCACTCCATTGTTCTATATGGTTGCGAAACATGGACGGTAGAAGTAGAAGATATTCGTAGGTTACTAGTATTTGATCACACATGTACATGTACATGCACATGTATCCTGCGACAGCGGAGTAAGTAATGCTGTCATTAGGAAACGAGTTCTAGGTAGGGATGAAAAACCAGTAGATGAAGTAATGAAACTTCATCAGCTGAGGTGGTTGGGACATGTGTTACTCATGCCCAACCACTGACTACCGCGACGAGCTATGTTTTGTGGTGTAGGAGTAGAATGGAAGATAGTTAGGGGCGGCCTAACCAAAACATGGTAGAAATCCATGAAGTCGCTGACAAGTGGACTGAATCATGTTGGTAGATGTAGGCTACCTGGTTGGGGTGTGCGAGACGATAGTCACCGATGGTTAGAGATCTTGAAAGACATAGCTCAAAATCATTTGCAATGGCGCAGGTTCATCCACTCATTGTGTTCTCTCTAATTCTAACCTTCTGAATTCCTCATTATCTCTATCTTTCTCCTTCTAAATTTATCTTACTGAATTATACTTCTCGAATCATATCTTCGCTCCCTAATCTTCTCCATTACTGCTAATATTTCTACTATCGCTATCACTGTTGGATTTGAACTGACAGTTGCGTCTGTGTGCTAATATGCTATGTCAACCTGAACTGATGTTTTTACTTACGAAGTTCCACGTTGCATCAGCTGACTCACTTACTGACTGAGTAGTAGTAGTAGTAGTAGTAGTAGTAATACTAAAAGAGATATAATCTTCCCACTAATCTATTGCTTTTTCCTTATTTCATTTTTCTTTACTGTAATAACGCTAATAATAATAAAGTTTCAATGTTATGTAAATTATATTTCATTTCCTGACCATTTGAATAATATCATAACCCTTTAACTCACTAACTCACTTATTAACTAACTAACTAACTAACTAACTAACCCACTAACTAATTACTGATTACATAAATTCTTGATTCAACGCACATCATAAATGTGGTATGAAAAAACAACAACCAAAACAAAAACACTGAGAAGCACATGACATAATCAAATTTCACAATGCACTTACTCAATTTCTGTATCAACGTCTTCTCTATTGATGATGAGAAGAAATGAAGGAGAAAAAAAATAGTGAGACGTTATTAACTGATGATGATGATGCAATAAATTAATGAGTCTTATTTTTTTTTTGTGTATGATTAAAATAAGAAATTAATGACATTTTTCTGAAAAAAATCATAAATTTATGTCGAATTATGACGAAATGTCATTACTGTTAGTGATCAAAAAACCAAGAGTCTTTTCCAATGAGACAGTTATTATTTGAGAATTTTGAATGAAACTAGTACACTAGAGTACTTGTCAGTATTTTTTTTTACGGAATGAGGTTGATAACTTCATGCCCAACCCTTTAACTTTGTCTGGGCTTGGGACAGGCAGTTAACTCAGAGGAGCTCCGGGTGGGGAATGCTGGTGGCTGACCTATGCTAGACTAGGGGTAATAGACGAAAATAAATAATATAGTCCTCGTACAGAGGTTAGCAGTAGGCTCTTTGATAAAATGAAATATCGCCCATTGAAATCATCAATCAATTATTGTTAGACCATCATTAGAGAACTTGCAGCACTGAACGGCCGTTTCGTCCTGGTATAAGACTTATCAGCAGTTCTCATCCACGACTCCTGCACCTCGCAGGATTCGCACCCAGGACCTTCAGTCTTGCGCGGGAACGCCTAACCTCTGAACGACTGTGCTGGCATCCAACGGTGTTATTGTTTAGCTTTGACAAATCGACAGATTTTGCTCGACCTCACCTATTTGTCTTTGGTAGTTACTGACTGAGGTTGTGTTCACGCGCCGAACTGAAGGTCCTAGGTTCGAATCCTACGAGGTTCAGGAGTCATGGATGCGCACTGCCACTGATGAGTCCCATATCAGGACGAAACGGTCATCCAATGCTTCCAAGGTTCAAATGGTGGTCTAACAATAATTGATTGATGATTTCAATGTGCAACAAACATTAATCTGCAAAACTCTAATTGGAAAACAGTATACGGCCGGAGAAATTCTAATATAATCTTCTCAATAGTTAAAAATAACTTGACGAGATCAAGTTTCCTAGTTTATTGAGATACATTGTAATTGAAAAAAAAATTGTGAAAAACTGTCCATTTTTCCTGATTTCAGAGATTTAATAAGAATCCATAGTCTTTTTTGCCAACGATCATTTTAGACAATGAAATGACGTGATTTTCTGCTTGTCAAATGTTATCCAGATAACATAAAAAAATATATTTGAAAAGTGGGTAAGTTTTTGTCTTCTACAGATATTTACTAGTGTTTCTGTCACTTCTAATCTGTCGAAATCAATCTACACGTGTCTTATATGCTATTGTAGGGCACATGTCAGTTACAAAAATAGTAAACGAAATGAAATCAAATCCTCAGTGAGAATTTTACTCACAAAATAAACCGCAAATTTAAAATACTGACAGTTGAGAGTCAAATAAACTACAAATTCACAGACACATATCCTATTCTGCCATGATTAGTGATCATGTGAAATGTGTAACTTCTCACATAACAGTGTGTAAGATCCATTTTTTTGAAGGCTTTGTTTGTGAAAATCCCACAATGTATATACATTTTTAATTTGTCCTAATTGATTCCTTCAGTTGTATAGTTGGTTAATCTGTTCGATTCCATTTTGGGGATGATAATATTTGTATTTTAATATGGTTTCTATTTCTTTTGCCTTTCTTTCTGACTTGCATTGATGTTCTTTATGTTGAGGATGTTAGATCCCCAAAATTCGCTTGATAAATGCCTTATTTCGGTTTTCACGTTTGCCAGCATGGGCTGATCAGTTGACCTTGAGATTTCAATTCCCACCAGGAAATACATGGCTGTGATTGGCTGCTGTGTATTTTAGTGCGCTATTTTCTTAACTGTACCAAGGACGTTTCTATGTTGTATGCTTGATTGTACTGTGATTGCTGGGTGTTTGTAGAGTTTACTTTCTACGCTTACCAAGCCTTCTGTTTACAGCTTGGGATTCAAGGTAGCCTATCTGGACGCTGGTAATTGTCGACTAAGGTAAACTCGTAATAGCCTCAAGCATACTCAGTGACGAGTGTAACAGTTTAAGTTGATACTTAGTCATGGCGACAGACATATTGATTTGTTCCTCTTTTAATTGTGTTGCTTGCATTGACTGGAATTGTGCATTTTGATTGTGAATTGAAGCACTCTTCCAGAATAGGAAACACTCTGTGTTTTTAAAGCAACCAAATATTATCTGTCGAACGAATCTGATCTATCCGGGAGGGATAGAATATCATTTATTTGTTGCTGTTGATTTGAATAATTGAACAATTGTTGGTGGAATAATTGAGTGGTAATATTTGTATAGATAATGATGTATATTTATTATTTATGATGAATAATAGATCCGTTATTTACCCAAATCACTTATTTTGGTCTTAGACTGGGCAATAGCGCGTTTCCAAACTCCCTGAACAGTTGTTCCTCAATCCAAACCTCTGAGTCAGTTAAAAACGAAAACATTACATTGAGCACTCTATTTGCACACCATCTTTGAGTCGTGATTTCCAACACTCCATCATCCTTCTTCCATTCCTGCTGTTGCTTCCTTTCATTCCTGTTGGTACTCTATTTACTTCTTGCTTTTGCTCCATTTGCTTTCTGTTTTTCTCTTCTTACCGTGAGACTTCTTCTTTCACGTCCCTTCTTATACTACTACTTATATCGTTCGTATAAGTAGCACACACCACACTACAACAGTTATTGGCTAAAGATATTTTTGCTGTTGTTGTTCAAATTCTAAAGGTATGATTCTTCCACCATCATGATTATGAATTCATTTCACATTTGAATTTGTTTTATTCACAATTGAAAATAAAACAACAACAACAAAAACAAAATGAATTGACATTTTAAAAAAACACTCATGTCAAATCTAAAAGGCATGAATAATATTAGTCAATAAACTTACGAATCACCCACAGCTCCATCCCAATCAAAGCATCGAAAATATAATTCACTAAAAAAAGAAAATCAAAATCAATAACACTCAGTGTTTTTTAAAATTCTTTCTATATGCAGATTTAAAATAAAGATAGTTTGACATAATTATAAATTTGTGATATTATCGACCTTTTGAGATTTCGATATTCGACAAAAATTTCAAGAAAGGAATTATTAATATTATTATTATCAATTCGGATGAACAGGTTCACAGGTGATATACATTTTTGGATTGATATGAGTTTGGACATTATTGACAAACGAACACAGAGTAATGGACAGGTTTTTCAACTTAGCAGGGGATTTCTCTTTCAGTGTTTACTTACAAATCTATCAAGGATTGAATTCAAGAGATTAACGACACACATCAAACACTCCTGACGAATTTTATACTGGTGTAGTGAAGGAGAATACAGGTGAGAGTAACCGAAATGTATTTATTATCTCAAATTACAGAGTTAATTGGTAAAATAGGAAAACGATATCGTAAATCGTTAATTTGCAAAATATCAATCCATCATATCGAACTGGACTGCTCCTGTTGCAAACAACATCTAATCCATTGTCTGACATTTCACTGTTCATACATTTCATACAAATCCCATTGTGTTCGCGCTCTTCCTTTCTTGATCTTCTCCTATCTTCTGCTGCCAGACATTACGTTTTTGTTCGCGTCATATACTACTTATAAGTAGCGCGCACCACACTAGTAGTTGAATGGATAGCACTTTGTAAGATTTTTGATGTATATTTCAGACGAAAACGATTCATTTTAGTCAAAGATGAGATTGTCTTTAAAAAACGATGTTTAGTTTGATTCATTCAAATAAAGTTAGTTTAGTGATGATTGAAACGGAAGTTTGTTTTTAAAAATAGGTGCAAAAACTAAGAGGTTTTTGCATTTTAAAAAAAAAGTTGATGGATTAGTTTAATATTTGAACAGTTGACTTTAATTTTATAATGGAGAGAGAAGGCAGGAAGTATGAAAAAAAGTACTACTATAATTAATTTGGGTTTAGAAAACACAAGTTTTGCTAGGTTTGTGTAACTTTGATCAAGGGAAAGATTTTGGAAACGCGTTAATTTTAGTAACACGATATTCAGTAATTTGAACAACATTATTGATTGCTTATAATATTATCGGGCAGAGTTTTGGAGATTTGTGTTTTTACACATTTGAAATCCTCAATCAATCATTATTAGACCACCATTAGAAACCTGGAAGCACTGAAAGACCGTTTCGTCCTGTTATTGAGTTACTCATCGGCAGTGCGCATCCACGAGTCTGGCTGGATTTGAACCCGGGACCTTCGGTATTGTGCACGAATGCCTAACCACCGGACCACTGGGCCGGCATCCAACGGTGTTAATTTTATTTGCTTTTGCTTGTTCTGGTATGAAGCAGTGCTCACTGAAGGCAGTGGATGAGGTTGTGTAAGACAGTGGACTGATCGGCTCAGTGCTCTACAGGTTAAACGTTCGCGTGGGCTCAAATCCTGCGAGTAGCAGTAGTCGTTAGCACTCAGTGCTGATACGTTCCATACGTGGACGAAACGGCAGTCTACATCATCCAGGTTTCTAATAGTGGTCTGATAGTGATTGATTCATGATTTCAAAAAGTAACTCAACAATCTATACAACTCTATCATGACAGTCAGATGATATCTTGTTGTAAAAAATATTATAAATAAATTAGAATAAATAACGTACTGACAAAAATAGTAAACAAGAAATATGTCTATCTAATTGAATATGAAGTGTTCTGAGAATTGAGAAATTTGATATATATCTAAGTAATTCATCAGTAATCAAACTGACGTGTTATGTTTTGTCAAAAATGAGGTTAATTTGACAATTTCCTATTAAAAAAAGTTATATTTTATTGAAAATGAATATACAGATAAGCGAAACTGTCAAAGGATGGATTTACTGATTGAAAAAGGAAGAAACATAATAACTTTACATACTTATTCACATAATCTGAGTTAGATATCCTGCTAAGACTTGAAACTTTAAAGTCAGTTACATCATAATTATTACCACTCGTAACTTTGCAAAATAAATGGAATAAAGAGTATTTAGTTCTAGACAAGTAACTGAATAGTCTCATGCTCATTATGATACCAGTGGTATAGATCACGAACTGATCTTATGTAGACCATCACTGGAAACCAGGAAACACTAGACCGCAACTTTGTCCTATCATGGGACCCCGTAGCAGTCAGTGCCCGTTCATGACTTCTGCCCTCAAGAGTCGTATCGAGGATCTTCGATCTCGCTCTTTCAGACTACTGGGTCGGCATTCACTAACATTGAGATCTAGGTTCAATCAGTCGAGAGTGGTGCTTAACCATTGCCTGTAGTAGATAACTGTTTCATACCCGATGTAGATTGAACTCTTCTGGTTACGATTTCTCACTAGGACTACAGGGATTCCTTTAAAAGTTATTCAATTGTGAGTGCATGATTATTTTATTAATAAAGGAGAATTGTAGAGATTGTATTGTTTCCATAGTTGAAATCGCGAACTAATCCGACGTCCGATACTCGCGTGCAGGATGCGCACACAACCAAGTAGTCCAATACTAGGACGGAACGGCCGTCCAGTGATCGCAATTTCTCGGTTAACTTTGATTCATCCTATGAACTAACGTTTATTAGGATCCATTGGCTATTGGGATAGTTAAAATATCAACACTAGAATGAAGGTATATCCATCTCACACACACCGTTTACATTCTTGTTAGGGACGTTAGATCCGCAGAACTCGTTTGATAAATGCCTTATTTTGGATTTCACGTTTTCGAGCATGGGCTGATCAGTTGACCTTGAGATTTCATTTCCCTTCAGGAAAATCCATGACTGTGTTTGGCTGCTGTGTATTTTAGTGTGGTATTTTCTTAACTGTCCCAAGGACGTTTCTATGATGTATAAATAAACGAGAGTTGTATGCTTGATTGTGTTGTGTGATTGCTGGGTGTTTGTAGAATATACTTTCTACGCTTACCAAGCCTTCTGTTTACAACTTGGGATTCGAGGTAGCCTATCTGGACGCTAGTAATTGTCTCGTCCGCATTTATCGACTAAGGTGAACTCGTAATAGCTTCAAGCGTACCAAGTGACGAGCGCAACAATTCTCTTGCAAGCTATTTTCCTACTTGATACAAAACACTTCATTGTAAGGTATATTTATTTTAAGGTATAATATGCATGTTTCTAGGGTGGACTGATTACATATCAGGCAGTTCTGAATGCAAAACTCGACTCATAGGCACAATATGTAATTAACAAATCAAATTTGAATATTGAATACGAACATACATTATGTATAGTTTGAAAACATTTTTGTCATCACAATCATAAGCTAGAGAATTAATTAGAATCAAGAGATAGTGGATAGTTGCGTCATCTTAAGTTTTGGGATTAATGACTTGTGATTACATAATCATTTTTTTCAATTAGAGTTGTGGAGATAATTGCTTTCACACACTGAAATCAATCAATCATTGTTTGACTAACAATAGAATGTGCTCACTAGTAACTAGCTTCGTGAGGAAATTCTCGGAGTTCTAGTTGAGAAGACCTGACCAATGGAGTCCAACCTTGTCGGGTGTAGGCGGTAACTACCAAAGACAAATGAGTGAGGTTGCACAGAATCTTTAGATCAACCAGAGTTAGACATTAACACAGTTGTATGGCGGCAAAGTGGTCCGGAGGTTAGGCGTTTGCAAGCAGGATCGAAGGTTCCGCGTTCGAGTCCTGTGAGATGCAGGAATCGTGGATGCGCGCAGCCACTGATGAGTCCCGTAATAGGACGAAACGGTCTTTCAGTGCTTCCAGGTTTCTAATGGTGGTCTAACAGCGCTTGAGTGATGATGGCAATACGTAATAATCATGATGTCATGTTAAACGAGATCTCAATCTAGAGCATATAAATGTTTGTATTACTGCAATATTGCATCATAAGGTCCTACCTAAGAATTTGTATAAATTTTTTGGGTAATTTAGTTATTTGAATAAATAGAACTTACCAGTCAATATTTCCACCACATAATCGATCTAAACATATTAGAATGGGTTTCCAGTCTGGAAATAACGTATTCTTGATCACTTCACTTCGATAACATTTTTGTAATCTATTTTTGTTCAAAAAAAGAAAAAAAAATGAAAGTTACAAAGTTACAAATTTAAACGTGAATAGTTAAAAAAACAAAACTTAAACTAAGAATCAAACCTATTCATTCTATAGTTATCATTTTTCTGATTGTTTTTGGTTAAATGTTCAATACTCAGATGTAAACTGGCAGTGTGGTGTGAGCTACTTATAAGTAGTATATGACGCGAGTGTCAACGTAATGTCTGGCAGCAGAAGACGGGGGAAGATCAAGAGAAAGGAAGAAGAGTGGGAACACAATGAAGTTTGTATGAAATGCATGAATAGTGACAATGGATTGATGTTTTGCAACAGGAACAGTCCAGTTCGATATGATGGATTGATATTTTGCAAATGAACAATTTACGATATGGTTTTTCTGTTTTACCAACTAACTCAGTAATTTGAGATAAATACAATTCGGTTGCCCCACCTGTGTTCTCGTTGACTACGGCAGTTTTTTTTAAATGATGACGTTTTCCATACAGTAGATTGATGTTAAAACTTGAAAACAATAATTAGTAGGCTATATCAGTCAGAGATTTATCTCTATTGGAGTATTACTCAATAACAAGGAGCAATGGACAGCTGTTTCGTCTGTGTGTGACACTCTTCATTGTAATAATGACTGATTTTCGATGCTTAAGTGTATAGATCAGCAAGGGACAAACTGTTATACTGATGATAAATATGTGTATTTATTAGCAACTGATGTTGAAGGGTCATTAGTTGGATAACTAATGTGTTCAAGAATGTGTATTTTACAAAGGAGTCCTATACTAAGATGAAACAGTTTTATTTTTAATGTTCTTTGGTTTTCATTGGTTGTCTAGTTACAATATGTCTGTGTAAAAATCATGAGAATAAATCACTGAATATTTTTATCATCAGTATTTATGCCAGTACACTTGTTCGTTCAACATGATGGCTAAAGAAACATTAAGTTGTCAAAACATGCAATCTTCTCTCATGAGGTAACCATATAGAATACTATACTCGCTAGTGAATATATGGATATAGGGAAAATGTTGACGTTTCTATGTATAATCACACTGATGATGGTGGGCAACTTCAGTATGACTTCAAGTGAGTTTAGCGAGCAGCAACTTTAGTTTAAGTTTCATTCCATCATATCGAACTGGACTGTTCCTGTTGCAAAATATCAATCCATTGTCTGACATTTCACTGTTCATGCATTTCATACAAATCCGATTATGTTCCCGCTCTTCTTCCTTTCTTGATCTTCCCTCATCTTACGTTTTTACTCGCGTCATATACTAATTATAAGTAGCGTGCACCACACTCTGACCACAAACACTTCTCTTTATGAACTCTAAAACTTTTTGGTCTGATTTTGGGAACAGCACAATATCATCAATAGAATGTCAACAATCTCTCTTATAAGTAGTCAATATTATGTAGTTTGTCAAGAAATCATATCGATTATGGCATATTGTTGTACAATATTCTGATTGAATTAAACTATTTTTTTTAATTACAGTTATGGAGATCATTTTTTTGATCACCAGTAGAAAAACCTAGAAGGTTAGACGTTCTGATGCAAGACCAAGGGTCTTTGGTTCGAATCCTGAAAGTTAAGGGAGCCATGGGCTCTACTGATAAGTTCCATACTAGTGTGGTGCGCGCTACTTATAAGTAGTATATGACGCGAGTGTAAAATTAATATCTGGCAGCAGAAGATGAGGGAAGATCAAGAGAAAGGAAGAAAAGTGGGAACACAATGGAATTTGTATGAAACGCATGAATAGTGAGTGAAATGTCAGACAATGGATTGATGATGGATTGAAGATTTGCAAATTAACCGTTTATGATATGGTTTTCCTATTTTACTGAGTAACTCTGTAATTTTCGTTAAATACAATTCGGTTGCCCTCACCTGTGTTCTCCTTCATTACACTAGGACGAAACGGCCGTCCAATGCTTCAAGGATTCTAATAGTGATCTAAGAATGATTGATTCATGATTTCAAATGTGTATAAAGTAAACTAATAAATTATTTAACCAAATTTAATTTTTTCTTGGGTTTTAAACAAATTAGGTATATCATGGATTTATACAGACAGATATGTGGATGTAAATTAACTTTGAAGAAAAAAAATATCTATTCATTAACTTACTTTCCTCGTTCATTTCTTCGATAAATAATTACATATGGATCTGATTTACCAAAAAAGTCTTTTTTGTCCAAATTTGCTCCATTCATTTTAATAAAAATATTTTCCTAAAATGGTTTTGAATTTTTTTTTTTGGGAAATTTATTAAATAACAAATTAGATATTTGGCAAGCAAATTAATTTACCAAAAATTGAGACGATTAGATAATAGCTAACAGTTAGAATGATATTTTACTAAAAGGTTGTGAAGATTGTTGAGTTTCATTGAAATCATTGTTAGATCACTATTAGAAACGTGAAAATATTGAATGGTGTTTTGTCGCAGTGTGGGCCTCATCATCAGAGGTGTACATCCACGACTAGTGTCCACAGGAATCGAACCCAAAAGACCTTCGGTCTTGCGCTAGAACGCTTAACTTGTAGACCAGTGAGCCGGTATCCAACGGTATTTCTTCGAATTCTGGTGAGGGGCTGGAGTTTAACGAAGTCCAAGGGGAAAACAGTGTTCACTAAAGGCAGTCGATCAGATAGTGCGATACTGTGTATTGAAGTTAAACAATAACTCCTCTAGATTTCGGCTCTGTGATCTAAGAGTTAGGCGTTCAATAGTGAAACCGAAGGTCCTGGATTCAGTCTCGTGAGTAGGAGTTGTTGATGAGTCCCATACTAAGACGAAATGGTCTTCCGGCGCTTCCGGTTTTCTAATGACTTTCCTACATTGATCAATTCATGATTTCAATGACATTTTAGTTCATTAATGTTTGAATTATCTCGTTGTAGTTGTGTTGACTGAATTTTGATCAGTCTCAGACAGAATACATATATCCCATGTTGACTGCCATGATAAAACTATTTTTCACGAATTTTTATGGGATAGATAGAATATAGCAAATACATTTGTTGATATTCGAAACAAAAGGTCATCTGTCCGAATCATGAAGTAAATATCAACTTTAAGGTGTGAAAGTACATTCAACTAACTAATCTTGAGTAGGACGATGCGGGTATTGTGAATTTCATTGCTAACTACATTCCAGTTATTCTGTGATAATAATAACAATGAAACCGCATGTAATGAGCGGATTTTCTAAGTCATTCTACAGGAATACACTCATTTTTGTATATTACTTGTCGGATTCGTAGAAGAATGATCATAAGTGATTGCTGAGATCAACATTTTAAAGGATGTCCAATGCTGTTCGATTGGATTTAGAGTATCTATTAAAAACGTCACATTAGTATTTACAGTATTATTCAGTTAGTGAAGTGAATTATACTTGTTTCATATTCTCTCGTAAACACTTGTTGTTTTCTACCTGTTAATAAGGAGTATTTACCACCTTAAATGTACTTGACGACATTGTTTATATGAATCAAGGCTTAATATCCCAATCAGAAGTGTTATCATAGTTCAGTAAAAAGTATATACTGAGAAATTCTTGTTAGCTAACAAAACAGCTAACATTAAATGAACTCCAGGATACGAGTTTTTTCCTATTTGCGACTGGTGATATGGATAAATTTGCCTCGCAAAGGTGATGTTCACTACGGAACTCGAACCTAGTACTGTTCACTTCCATCGATTTAGCTACTGAGTTCACAGAGGCACTCACTTGTGCGATGGGATGAAGATTGATTCATGTGTATTGGTTGTTTGAATCTGCTCATTGATGTTTAGGACTGGGGATTTAGTCCCAGAGTGAATATCAACTTTGAGATCATGACACATCCAGCTGACAAGTTCACATTAGGACATTATTTAACATTGATCTAGTCAGTATAAACTGCGGTGACCAGTGCCTCATTAGTTTCGTCCGATACATTCTTAGACTTCGTATACCGTTACTGAATAGCGAGCACCTCACGGTTTATAAATCAGAAGACGAATACAAGGTGTTGAATATGTTTATTTGGCACACCACAATTAGACTACCAGATCACAGGCGTACAAAGATAAAATCAATAGGCCAGTACCGGAAGAGGCAAGCAAGTGAACCAGTAAGAGAAAAAAGAATCCTGACAAATAGCTATTTTTTGAATTTTCAAACTGAGCATTTGAATTAGAATCTTAGCAATTCTTCATAATTATTGTGAGATTTTGAAATACAGCCTTAACGTTTTTTTATAACTAGTCGTGCGAACGTACATCAGTTCACGTTACCAGTTCACAATTGAAGAACGTTTGGAACTCAATACAACCATCAACCAACATCAAAGTCAGAATTTTCAATACAAATGTCAAGACAACTCTACTTTGTGGGGCGAAAACTTGGAGAACTACCAAAGCCATCATCCACAAGGTAAAAGTATTGATTAACAGTTTTCTACAGAAAATAACTTCAGATCCGTTGTCCAGACATCATCAGTAACAACCTACTGTGTGAAAGACCGAACCAGATTCCAGTGGAGGAGGAAATCAAGAACAAGAGCTGGAAGTGAATAGGACACACATTGCGGAGATCACCCAGCTGAGTCACAAGACATGCCCTCATATAGTATCCTCAAGGTCAATGGAAAAGAGGAATACCATATAACCTACTGTGCAGAGGATTAGACACAGACTTGAGAATAATCGACAGAAACTGGGGTAGTACTGGAAAGGAAGGTCCAGGACAGAGTAGTTTGGAGAATGTTGATTGGCGGCGTATGCTCCACTAGGGGTAGTAACAGGCGCAAGTAAGTAAAAGTAATTAATAAATTTTGTTTGATCTTGTGTGGTGTGAGTTTATGTGTGTAACGTTTTGATTTGAACATGTTCACAAAAATTATAATAATCACAATTTAAACATTCAATATCATGACTATTTGATAAATTTTATACTTTTTTATCAGAAATGGAAACTTACTTTAGAGAAAGGATCTTCTCGAATGCAAACTGTTTTTTGTTTTTAAAAAAAAAATAGATTTCAATAAGTTATTTTAAATACTACTCAAAAAACTACTTAATAAAAAATGTGTATATTATGGAAAATAACGAAAGATAGACATGTCATACTTTCACTTACTCCTCTAAAAATTATAACATTACTGTAAGACGGTTGTTTGTTCCCAATATTTTTCATCTTACAGCTTTCTGACATCGATTCCATGTATGTGAGGAGGGCATGGCAAAATTATTTATGGAGTCATTCAGACTGTCTACTCAGGTTGAGACAGACACATACAAGTTATGTGGCTACTACCTATTTCAATGCTTTATCCTCAGTAGAATGAGTTGTGATTGATATATTGGCCATGTATCCAGAAGGTACATCGCGTTCTACTTATAATTCGACAAATAGATGAACCTATATGCCAATGAATGTGTCCACACTAAGATTCGAATCCAAGGCTTATTGTTTCTAATAAAATCAAGTTAACCGCTATTGTTACTCAGTTCAAACTGCCAGTAACATTTAAGGTATGAATACATAAATGAAGATTGTGGTTTGGCTTTGTTGAGATTTGCTACTGGAATCCGCTTAGGTTGTATATATAAGATCAGAGATTGATCAATCATAGTTTCAAATTCCAACAACGGGCAACAATGAAGGTATTTATAAGGTTTTGTGATAAAAACGTTGAAGACAAAATCCTGCAAAAATTATAATTCTTACACCATTATAGATTATACTGAAAATATATATTCTAAAATATTAGGGACTGTTAGAACATTGTTATAAGTGTTGTTTCATTTCATGAACAGGTTCACATTTGAATTATCATACGTTTTGTTCAATATTCAATGTCTGATTTTAAGTTGATGCTGTCTGTTACTGAAAACACTTTTTTAAAAATGTTAATCAAGGTTAGATCACATGCTATTGTCTTAGTATTTTAGTCGAAATCATAAATCTGTAATTAATCAGTGTGCAATGCATTTGTTCAGCAATTATACTATGCATTCACTATTTGGTTCTTGGTGTCAAGTGATGGATAGACATCTTATACACCTTCAGTTTTTATGTTACCACGTATACGAACTCATTAACTTGTTGTAGAAGTCAGTGATAGAGAAATGTCAGGACATAAATACATCATGTGTATATTTTGAATTTCGTATATTAATTATTTTTCAAAATATAAAATTTAAGTCATGCGCACTTTAAATAGCTTCTTATTACTTAAAATTTTTTTTCCAGAAATCACTGATTGATTGATGATTTTAAACAACATTAATCCATAACTCTACAATGAAAAATTGTACAATATGCCCGGAGTTCTAGGGACAAGACGATATCAGTGGAGTCCAACCATGTTAGGTGTAGGCAGTAACATATCGGAGACAATAAGTGTGGTTGCTCAAAATCTTAGATTGATCAAATATAGAGTGTAACACCGTTGGATGCCGGCTCAGTCGTCTCCAAGTTAAGCGTTCACGCGTAAGACCGAACGTCCTGGGTTCGATTGCTGTATCAGTAGTCGTGGATGCAACAGTGCTTATGGTTTCCATACCTGGACAAAACCTCTGTCCAATGCTTTCAGATTTCTAACAGAGTGGTCTATCAATGATAGATTCTTGATTTCAATAAGAAACCAAAAGAACGCTATTCTTTCCAAAAGTATGAAAATTGTTGATATTCCAAAGAAATCTATTAAATCTAACTAATTGTGGTGGTTTTTCGTTCTTTGAGCTGGATGTTTTGGTTGTGGAGCTTTCATTGTTCTTCTACTGAACAACATCATCAGCACAAACTTCAGATAGAAGTGAAGCATCCGAATTTCTCCACGTTTGACCTGTAGCTTGTTCTGCTAACCTCGATCTTGATTGGTTGCTGTTGACCTTTAACCTGTCGTTGTTTACACCTTTGTTTTGATTGTATCCCCCTTTTGATCTGTTTCTTGATCCTATGTCATCTATGATTTCTCTGATTGGTTGATAAATTGGGTCAATATCAATGTGTTTGTTGATTGCTGATCCAGGTTAGCAGAACAAGCTACAGGTCAAACGTGGAGAAATTCGAATGCTTCACTTCTATCTGAAGTTTCTGCTGATGATGTTGTTCAGAAGAACAGCAATGAAAGCTCCACAACCAAAACAACCAGCTCAGAGCACGAAACACCACCACAATCATCTACCTGAGCTACAAGTTTTCTCCACCATCTCAAATCTAACTAAACTACTTTCAATTATTAAACATGATTATCTGTAATTATCCCAAGAAAAATGTTAACGATAAGAATAGATTTTTTTCAAAGTTCTTAAACACAGAAAAAAAATAAAAGCATTTCATTCGGTCTTCAACCGGAAACATTTAGGAATATTTATCTACATATATATATATATATATATATATATATATATATATATATATATATTCGGACAAAAATATATAAAACTATATTTGATTTGATTTCAATAAATTTCAGGAAACTCACAATAGTTGGGGTCATAATTAATAAATAGAAATCTTATCTGAGAAGGGTGTAGGTAGCTAGTGCTACCAGAAGATAAGAGATTGTAGTTTCATGTTTAAAAATGTTCAATTTCATTCATATACTACTAACAAAAGATAATTTATTAAATGTTTCTTTTTTCTCTTTCTTTCAGTGGTTATGTAAATTAAAAACATCCTTAATTGTAAAATAAATTTCTTAAGAGGTTGTTGATTAAGCAGTAGTGTAAAAAAACAATTCAGCTTATATTAAGTTGAACTATAGAATGAAATAAGTATGTATTGTAAAAATATTGGATTTAAGTTTGTTAAGTTTGATAAAGGACTCACTTCCTTTACATAAAAAACATTTTTGGTAGATATAATGAAAACTGAAAGTTATGAATGATTATCGAAATTTTGAACCGATCTAAGTGTTCTCGAGAATGAAACCACGAACTACTAAGTGGCCGCCTAGTTCCAGTCTGGAGCTCCTCACTGATGTGCGCAACATAGGAATGAAATTGAGGACCTTCCGGTATCGCATACGGACGCCTAGATTTTAGGATGCTGAGCTATTATCAGACAATGTTACTGTAAGATCTACATCAGTCCGCAATATTCCGTGTCAACAAACACTCTTCAATGGTCTTTGACGAGTAACTGTTTTACACCCCTGTGAACTTCACCGGTCATGACTTCCCATTAGAACTGTGAAAATATCCTATTGAAGTTTCTTGCTAGTTAGTACATATTAATTTTAGGCATAGGGTAGAAGAGATTTTCGGATTTCTAGGTTTTCAATGGGGGTCTCACTCAAATTGGTTGATGACTTCAATGAAATTCAATGATCTCCACAATCCTTCTATACTTACAATCGGTGATTCGTTTAACTGTAAAACATCTATTAAGTTAGCTTAACATTGAATTTTGAAAGCATTTCTTTTACTCAAAACAAAACATCATCATGTGTAAATGGTTTTGATTCACCAGCTTCTCATTCATTCTACAAGTTTACATCATCATTCATTGTAGAGTTATGGAGATTGAAGTCATGAATCAATTATTGTTAGACCGTCATTAGAAAACTGGAAGCATTTGATGGCTGTCAAGTCCTAGTATAGAACTCTTTGATAGTGCGCATCCACGGCATGATTTAAACCCAGCACCTTCATTGTTTGCTCGAAAAATCAGCTAACTTCTCGACTACTCATCTGGTATCCAACAACATTAATCTATAACTAATATATATAGCTAAGGTTTTCACAACCTCATCCATTGTCTTCGATAGTTACTGCCTATAACCCGACATGGCTAGACGTTAACACCGTTGGATGCCAGCTCAGTGGTCTAGAGGTTAAGCGTTCAAGCACAAGTCCAAAGATCCTAGGTTCCATTCCTTTGAGTGGGGGTTGTAGATAAGCTTTGCTGAAGAGTCTCATATTAAGAGCCGTGAAGGCCATCCAATCCTTCCAGTTTTCTAATTTATGGTAAACTAACAATAATCGATTCACGATTTCAACATATAATATATCACACGGAATCATCAACGCTGGAATATTTCAAGTATTGTTTAGTGACTCAGTAATTGAAAAGTATCATATATAACATAATTCCTTGGAAAAAACTTGAGTTCAATCTTATTTCAAGTCATGAATGCACACTGCTGCTCTTTGATGTAAAGCTAAAATCAATTTTTTTCTATAAAATAGACGCTATAAAATTAGCAATGGAAATTTCATTGGGATATAGCCTAGAATTGACAGGAATCGATCATATCCGAGATATAAGTGGATATACTTTATGTAAGTACCACTTTTTGAATGCTTTGTTTGTGAAAATCCCACAATGTATATACATTTGTCATTTGTCCTTATTGATTCCTTCAGTTGTACAGTTGGTCAATCTGTTCGATTCCATTTTGGGGATGATAATATTTGTATTTTATTATTATAGTTTCTATTTCTTTTGCCTTTACTGAGTTTCTATGTTTCTTTCTGAACTGCATTGATGTTGTTCCTCTTTTGATTGTATTGCTTGCATTGACTGGAATTGTGCATTTTGATTGTGAATTGAAGCACTCTTCCAGAATAGGAAACACTCTGTGTTATACAGCAACCAAATATTATCTGTCGAACGAATCTGATTTATCCAGGAGGGATAGAATATCATTTATTTGAATAATTGAACAATTGTTGGTGGAATAACTGAGTGGTAATATTCATTTAGTTAATGATGTAAGAATTGATATTTACGATGAATATTAGAACTGTCATTTACCCAAATCACCTTGTTTTGATTTTAAACTGGGCAATAGCGCGTTTCATCTAAACTATCTAGACAGTTATTCCTCAATCTAAACCTCATTTTACATCTTACATTTATATTGAGGAGTCCCAAATCAACCGACACTCCTTAATCTACATCTTACTTGATACTCAAATTACCGAATTATGCAAACATATCAACTCCGCCAGTAGAACCTTAGGGGCTACTGCCGGTCCCAATCCCGGATAAAGGAGGAGAGTTGGACATGGGGTTGGCGACCCCATTCTGTCGAAATCTAACTTGCCAAAAAAAGCTAACCAGAAAATGCAAACATATCGAGTGTCGCATTTGGCTATTCAGATGAATATTATCGATATTCTTTTACAAACTCATATGGCTTGTTTCAAATGGGAATCAAACGATTTCTTTAATATTTCTACTAATATTTCTCATTTAGAATTAAAATCTATTTTATGGGTTTTCAATGTAACATATTTATTGACAGCGATTTTTTTGATACGTTTTTTTCTCTCCCTATTACAGCTAAAGAAATGTGTTTGTTTCTTCTTCCTCTGATTGGAAATAAACTGGAAATAAGAATACATAAATTATTCTTTGGGAATTATTGTTACAATTTTCTAAAATCAAAATTTACTATCATTTTTGGTATCAGTGTAGAATAATTAGTGTTGAATTTCGAATTGTCATATCATATGATATTTTTGCGATAAAAGGAATTAACACAGTTAAGTGTGATATGTATTTAGACCAATATTAAAAGCGTGGAAGCATTGGACGGTCGTTACATGCTGGCAGGTAACAGCAGTGCGCATCCACGACTCTTGCTACTCACAGGATTTTGAAACAAGGACCATGGGTCTTGCGCGAGAACACTCAACCTCTGGACCATCAAACTGGTATCTAGCGATCTGAATGTCTAAGTCTGATTAATCTAAGGATTTTGTACTACCACACCTATCATTGTCTTCGGTAGTTACTGACTACATCTGACAGGGTTGGGCTCCTCTGGTCATGACTTCTCACTAGAATTGCGGGGATTCGCTCACGGTGTTAGTCATTAGTGAGTAATGATCCATTCATGATTATAGTGTAAAACAACGATTTTCATAATACTAATCAAATAGTGTTAAGCATATTTTCCTAAAAATTTATTTTGTAAATTTATTCTTCATAATAATGAACAATCATGGTGAAATAACAATAAGGAAGCCATAGAAAACTGTTTTATCATAGTCTAATGAACAAAGACGTTAAGATCAGAAAAGACATAGTTTACTGGCAAAAATATGTACACCTAATCTTTATAGGCTTCCATTAACGAAACAAGCAGACTATTAACTATTGCCATGCATCCAGATAGGACACTCTTCTCTTCGGTAGTAACGTCTAGCCGATATTCCGCTAAATACTATTTGGGATTTCGATTGGTATCCATCTAACCTTGTACGGGACAGACAACTCAACTAGAATAACCCATGACTACACTAGTTATGAAAGCCATAAAGCTTAGATCGTGTGTGGCAAAAGTGCTTAACAATCAAAACTACTATGTCTGTATCTAAATGTTTACATTGATAAATTTAGTCTCAATTACGGGGTTGTTGTGAAGATTGTGATGTTTTATTTGAAACAACCCCGTAATGCAAATTACCTGTGTTCATTAGTGACTAGCTTCGTGAGGACTCTTCTCCGAGTTCTAGTGGGAAGATATGACCAGTGAAGTTCAACCTGTTCGGGTGTAGACAGTAACTACTACCGAAGACTGTGCATGAGGTTGCGCAACTCCGTGAATTGATCAAGTTAGACATTAACACCGTTAGATACCGGCTCAGTGGTCCGATGGTTAGGCGTTCGCTTACAGTACCGAAGGTCCTAGGTTGGAATCGTGTGAGATGAGCGAGTCGTGGGTGCGTACTGCCACTGATGAGTCCCATATCAGGACGAAACGGCCGTCTTGAAGTGCTTCCAGGTTTCTAATGGTGGTCTAACATTGATTGATTCATGGTTTCAAATCTAGTCTCGTCAAAAAATTTCGTGTCACTACGAGCTTTCAATATTCTTGCTTCCCAACTGTTTCAAATGTGGTTGTAATTTATCATCCACTACAATTCTAGAAATCACTTCTCACCAATGACTGCATGATACATTCATTTCTCTCATCAATTCAATTTTGTTTATAAAACAATAATTCATCACAAAATGAACGCTTCTATGTACGCACATAATATTGATTAAAATGAAGAAGAAAAAAACAACGATTTAAGTAGTAAATTAATTTAAACGAAAAAGAAAACAAGAAATCTGAACAAATCATAAAAGTTGTTCATACATTTGTTTGTTTTAGTTGTTAACAATATAAATAATAGAGAAGAGAAAATTGCAAACAAGATTTATACAAGCGGAATAAATTTATTTCCCATTAACTTAAGTGTAAAAAAGTTGATTACTCGAAAAAAAATACATAAATTTAACTTATAAAATAGATTAAGTCGCATAATAGTATGGATCGATCAACATTAGGCAATAAAGCATTGGATTCCGGCTCAACAGTCTATAAAGTCAAGCGTTCGGATAAAGCACCGAAGCACCTAGGCTTGATTCTCGCCTGTGAGCTGATGGTGTGATGCGAGCTACTTATAAGTAGTATATGACGTGAGTGTAAACGTAATGTCTGGCAGCAGAAAATGGGGGAAGATCAAGAAAGGAAGAGTTAGAACACAATGGAAGTTGTATGAAACGCATGAATAGTGACAATGGATTGATGTTTTGCAACAGGAACAGTCCAGTTCGATATGATGAACTGATATTTTGCAAATGAACGATTTACGATATGGTTTTCCGATTTTACTGAGTAACTCTGTAATTTTCGTTAAATACAATTCGTTTGCCCCACCTGTGTTCTCGTTCACTACAATGAATGTGTACATTTTTGATTAGTCTCACATTAGTACGAAATGGTGGCTGTCCGATGCTTTCAGGTTTCTCTAATGGTAGTCTAATATTGATCGATTGGTGGTTTCATTAAGAATTTATCGTTAAACTCGTCATAAATTATTAGATCGATCATGAAAAGTTGATGTAACTGTCAAACTGTAATTAATTTTAGTCCGAATCATTCATTTATAATTTTAAACTGCCATTGGTCTTAAAAAAAAATGTAGTTAGGCTTTCAAGTTGTTCTGTTTTTCTGTTGAAAACATTGAATATGCTTTGAATGAATTTATACTCTGTGAAAGGCACAGTTAATTTGTGTGTAACAACACTCTTTTAAAGTTTCACAATGTGTATGTGCAACATATATGGTCTTTGCATTACGGGGTTGTGAAGATTGTTAAGTTACACATTGTTGAAACCATGAATCGATTAATGTTAGACTATCATTAGAAACCTGGAAGCACTGGACGACCATTTCCTCCTGATATGGGACTCCTCGGTTGATGCGCACTGCTGAGGAGTCCCATACCAGTACGAAATGGCCATCTTGCAGTGCTTCTAGGTTTCTAATGATGGTCTAACACTGATCGATAGATGGTCTTTAGCGAAAAAAATTATCAAATATATTGCGTCTTTTGATTGGATTATTTTTAAATGAATATCATTAAATGTTAACAATAAACGCTTCAATGAATTTAATATGAAGTAATTAATAAGTTTGTGTCTTAGCCAGATTATTTGAAATAATAAATCGATCAATGTCAGATCACTATTTGAAACCTGGAAGCATTGGACAGCCGTTTTTTCATAGTATGGGACTTATTAACAATGCACATCTACGACCCATTCATGCACAAAATTGAACCCACGATCTTTGGTGTTGCGCGCGAACACTTAACCTCTCTAGTAACAAGTTTAGTGATGGATATCTCGGAGTTCTGGTGAGAAGCCGTGACTAGTGGAGTTCAACCCTGTTTTAGTGTAAGTTAACACTTACCGAAAGGAATGACTGATGTTGTGCAATACCTTGAACTGATTAAAGTTAAACGATAACATCGTTGGATACCACTATCTCAGTGGTCTGGAGATTGAACGTTAGCATAGGAGACCGGAGGTAGTTGGTTTGAATCCTACTAGTCGAGGTCGTGTGTGTGCGCTCTTGATGAGTCCCAACCTAGGACGAAACGGCCATTCAGTGGTTCCAGGTTTCTAATTGTCGTCCAACGATGATGATTGATGAACAGTTTCAATGTAATAAATTTTATGCCGAAATTTTTTACTCAACAAAGATAAATAACAGTGAAGTAAAGAAACCAATTAAGACAAAAGTTTATAACCAGACTGGGGTGACTAGTTTTTCATTTTAGCTACAAGTAAATTAATAATTACACAATGATGTTAGTTTGATCACCTACCACTCCTCTTCTCCATATCAATAAAGGTTAATAATACATAGAGAATTAAGATGAACTTACCAACTACATCGGTTGATGTATTTCGATCAACTTGAATATCTTCATTCCATCTAAGAAATTTAGAAAAAACAAGATAGTCGGCAGGAATATCAGTAAAAATCTTGTGTTTATAGAAAATAGTATCGATTATATATTTTTTCAAACAAAAAATAAGTTGGATGCCGGCCCAGTGTTGTCCAATGGTAAGGTGTTCGCCTACAATGCCGAAGGTCCCGGATTCGAATCCTGCGAGGTGCAGGAGTCGTGGATGCGCACTGCCACTGATGAGTCCCATACCAGGACGAAACGGCCGTCTTGCAGTGCTTCCAGGTTTCTAACAATGATTGATTGATGATTTCAAATGTGTAAAAAATAAGTGTTACTTTAGAATACAGTGAAATTTTAAAACTTATAACTTGCTGATAATAATACCATCATAGTTTAACTTATTAGTCATTCAAATTACAAATTGAATTAATCATTGAAAGATTGTAATGTATTTGAGATGTAATGTATTTTGGAATTATATAAAGCAAAGTCATGCTCTGTCTGTATAAGTTATTGTCTAGATTAAAGTCACTTTCATATTTCGAAAACAAACATGTTTGCATGTTATCTTTATGTCATGCCTGTTTACTTGTTTAAGATTGTGTTAGGTTCGTTCGTCACTAGGTATGCTTGAAACAATTACGGGTTCAGCTTGGTCGATAAACGAGAACGAGACAATCAACAGCATCCAGGTAGGCTAACATGATCCGAAACGGCTAAAGAGAAGTCTTAGTATAGTGTATAAAGTATATTCTACAAACACCCAGCAAGCACACAACACAATCAAGCACATACAAATCTTGTTTATTTACACGTCGTAGAAACGTCCTTGGGACAGTCACTAAAATACACAGCCGCTGATCACAGCCAAGGATTTTCCTGGTGGGAAATGAAATTTCAAAGTCAACTGATCAACCCATGCCCAAAATAAAGCATTTATCAAGCGAGTTCTGGGGATTCAACGTCCCCAACAGATTATTCTCTCCGTTGGAACACAGGTAACCGACCAAGGATGTTCGATTAAATGTCCAGAGCCGTTCTGGATAGCTGATGCTAGACAATTTCCATAGTCTTGATGTTTGATTACTGTCCTAATGATTATATGTTCTCTAGTATTTCTGAAAAGAGTGCATAATATTAATTATCTCAATGAGTTATTGTCAAGTTCAACCTTTGTATGACTTAGTATATTTTTTTTCGGTTAACCAGTTAGAACACTTCACTTCTGACTGAAATTTGATTATTCTTACAATATAATTATTAGATTTTTCTGTTTTCATTACAGTGGGAAAAAACTGTTGATGATTTGTAGTTATTTAGCTATATTGATGATATCCTCGCCAATTGATATGTTTGCATGCTATTACGAGTTCACCTTACTCGGTAAATGGAGCGCAGTTGAATGATGCAGTGGCACGATAGACTATTCTAATCCGTTATCCCAAGCAAGAAGTTTTGACAAGGCACCCGGAAAATAGGAGGTTGGTAAGCACACAAATCAGGCTTATTTAAACAATGATAGTAATGTCCTGCGGAGAGCCACAAAAATAGCATACTAAAATAATCCATCAACCAATCACAGTTAGGGTTTTTCCGAGTGGGAAATGCAAGCTGAAGGTCAACTAAGTGACCTGTGCATGAAAACGTAAACAATCCAAAATTAGGAACCTTTCTAAGTGAGTTCGGATGAACTAATATCCCGAACAATTATCAAAAAATAATAATAAATGACATTTATATATTCTTTTGAATTTTCGACTGTATCCTTCTGAGACTTGAACATTACTTACTTACTTACTTATGCCTGTTACTCCCAATGGAGCATAGGCCGCCCACCAGTTTTCTCCAACCAACTCTGTCCTGGGCTTCCCTCTCCAGTTCTGTCCAATGTTTGTTCATTCCTCTCATATCTTTCTTTATTTCTCGGTGTAATGTGTTCTTTGGCCTTCCTCTTTTCCTTTCGCCTTGAGGGTTCCATGTGAGGGCTTGTCTTGTGACACAGTTGCGTGCTTTTCGTAGTGTGTGTCCTATTCACTTCCACCGCTTCTTCTTGATTTCCTCCTCCACTGGAATCTGGTTTGTTCTCTCCCACAGTACGTTGTTGCTGATGGTGTCTGGCCAACGAATCCGAAGTATTTTGCGAAGACAACTGTTCATAAATACTTGTATCTTCTGGATGATGGCTTTGGTAGTTCTCCAAGTTTCCGCTCCATACAGTAGAACTATCTTGACATTTGTATTGAAAATGCTGATTTTGGTTTTGGTTGAAAGTTGTTTGGAGTTCCAGATATTTTTCAACTGTAGAAATGCAGCCCTCGCTTTGCCAATCCGCGCCCTCACATCTGCATCGGATCCACCTTGGTTGTCGATGATGCTGCCGAGATATGTAAAGTTGTTAACGTCCTCCAAAGCATCTCCATCAAGAGTGATTTTGGTTGGTGTATGTTGTATTGCATCGGAGTATTTTGCTTTTTCCTTTATGTATGTTGAGACCTACTGCTGCTGGAGACTTGAACATTGCGGTTGTTTATTTCAGAACGTCAATTTATATTCATTAGGTTTGTTGATCAACACACTTAACTGATATGATAAAATTATTCTGAGTTTACATTTATGATATTTAATCCCTGTTAGTAAATCATCCCTTTGACTAGACAGGTGGATGATTTGAGCCAAAAATATGTGAATGTCAACACTAAGGTATACACTCACTCATCCAGATGATAAATACGAGATAAGATGAAGTTTACATTTTTGAAACCATGAATCGATCAATGTTAGACCACCGTTAGAAACCTGAAAGCACTGCAAGATGGCCGTTTCGTCCTGGTATGGGACTACTCGGCAGTGCACATCCACGACTCCTGCGCCCTGCAGGGTTCGAACCCAGGACCTACGCTATTGTGGGAAAACGCCTAACCAGTGGACCACTGTGTTAATTTCTAACTTGATCAAATTCACGTAGTTTACATTGTGAATTCTGTTGCTAAACCACCAATAGACTTCACTTAAGAAAAGTCAACTATATAAACGAGTATGATTCATTCACATAGGAAATATGAAAGTTAATTGATCTCATTCAACAAATATCGATCGATAACAAGGATACTACTAATTCCCACGTTTGATTTTTATCACCTACCTATCTTAATTACATAGGTCAGATTGAAATTACAGAAAAAGATAGAAATAATCCATGATGAATCTTTCTGTGTATTAAGATAGAAAAGACTTTGTCTGTTAGTGAACTTATGAAAATAAACATTGAAGTTTAGTAAGTTATATATAGGAAGGTAGCGCTAATCGATATAATATGTCTTATTAAAACTTTTCATCCACTGTCCTATTTCAAATAAAGGTCAAGTTGAGTTTTAGAATGGAATCAAAATATGAATCATGTGAAAGGCGAAATGTTTCTCAAAATAATTACACATTGTTTATGTGTACAACATGTCCATCTACACATATCTGTCATCAATGATTGATTTAATTTATGTTGATAATTAAGATTTAGGTGAAATTTTATGAATATGCATGAAAGTTTAACAGAGTGTTGAGTTAGTTTTTGAAATCTCAAATCGATCAATTTTTATACCACTATTAGATACCTGGAAGCATTAGATGGCCATTCAATCCTGGTATAGAACTACTCATCAACAGTGCGCATCCACGACTCTCACTATTCGCAGGATTCGAACCCAAGACCTTCTGTCATACGCGCGAACGAGTAACCTCTCAGTTTTGAAAAATTAGAATGGTTTGCATATTTAGTAATTGAAACGGATAATAGATTAAGGCGATTTTTGTTTACTGACTGATTTTATTGCGGGGTTGTTGTGAAGATTATTAAGCTTTATTTGTAACCATGAATCGATCAATGTTAGACCACCATTAGAAACCTGGAAGAACTGGACGGCCGTTTCGTCATGGTATGGGACTCCTCAGCAGTGCGCATCCACGACTCCTGCACCCACAGGATTCGGTATTGTGCGCAAACGCCCTAACCGTTAGACCACTGAGCCGGTACCTAAAGGTGTTAATGTCTAACTTGATCAGTTCACGGAGTTGCGCAACCTCATACACTGTATATATCCGAACATGTTTGAACTTCACTGGTCACGACTTCCCACTAGAACTCGGAGAATATTCCTCACCAAGCTAGTCACTAGTGAACACATGTAAATGCATTGCGGGGTTGTTGTGAGGGTTGCTAAGTTTTATTTGTCCCATACCAGGACTTGACGGCCGTGCAGTGCTTCCAGGTTTCCAATGGTGGTCTAGCATTGATCGATTCATGGTTACAAATAAGGCTTAACAATCTTCACAACAAACCCGCAATGCATTTACATGTGTTCACTAGTGACTAGCTTGGTGAGGAATCTTCTCCGAGTTCTAGTGGGAAGTCGTGACTTGTAAAGTTCAAACATGTTCGGATGTATACAGTGTATGAGGTTGTGCAACTCCGTGAATTTGATCAAGTTAGACATTAACACCATTAGATACCGGCTCAGTGGGCTGACTGATTTTATTTAAACAATAGCTAGTGGAGACAATAATAACTCGGTGCTTTTTGATTCTCGACGATTGACTAACTGAACTCGCCCAGGCTTTAAGTATCCTTCAGTCATACTGCAAATAAGGTCACTTTATTGTTTCTCTGTATAAATGTACAGCATGTTACAGACCTTCGCATGTAAATGATGTTTTAAACGACAATTTCCGAATCTATCTAATATATTCTCTTCAAATTTACTTATGTGTCATATTGAAGTAGTAGTATTCAATACTTTGTTTGTAGCAGCTAATTAGCATGACATAAACGAGTATTTTGTTGAAATCAAATCTATTTATCGATTGCAGAGTTGTTTTTTTTGGCATACAGTTGAAAACTAATGAAGTTGATAAGTAGTATCATACGAAATCGTTCAAAAATAATCTATTTAGTAGTTGACTAAAAATACTCATCGAATGTGAATGAGTACACTGTCAATTTAACCAAAATTGTTATCATTTATGATGACAAAATGCAAAACTATACAACATATATTTTTATCTGTTTATGATCGATTTTAAATGAATTTTGTTATTTGTTCAATATTGAATCTATTCACTGAAAAATTGTTTAAATATATGCTTTCAAGTAACAGTAAGTAGCTCAATAGATAAACACATTTGGTGTTTTTAAATGCGAGATAAATGCCAAGTTTGAGTTCAGCTAGAAGCATACTGTTTTTATATTTAATAAATTTAGTGAATAAATCTTTAAAAGACAAGAAGGGCAGGGAGCGGTGGCGTGCGCCTATAGTCTAGCTATTTGAAGGCCAGGGTGTAGGATTTCACAGGACAGGAAGTTCTGGCATGAGTGTGCTCATGTTGATCGGGTGTTTACGTTAAGCATGGCGCTGATATGGTTGACCTGTCTGTGAGCGGTTCGTCTAGGTCGACTAAAGGGGAGAAGAAAATTTGTCATTCTGAAATTCAATATTAGCTACTGTCAAAAATATACCTTCAGATGTTGAAACATTCTTCTATTTTGCATTTAGGTATTATAGATGAATGAATCATTGTCGCAGCAAAACAACGATCTCCATAATATTCTGATTTAAAAATCAAAAATGTGTTGATGAGTGGAAATTCTTGGAGTTCCACTTGTGGTGCGAGCTACTTATAAGTAGTATATGACGTGAGTAAAAACGTAATGTCTGGCAGCAGAAGATGGGGGAACATCAAGAAAGGAAGAAGAGTGGGAACACAATGGAATTTGTATGAAACGCATGAATAGTGACAATAGATTGATGTTGTTTGCAACAGGAACAGTCCAGTTCGATATGATGAACTGATATTTTGCAAATTAACGATTTACGATATGGTTTTCCGATTTTACTGAGTAACTCTGTAATTTTCGTTAAATACAATCCGGTTGCCCTCATCTGTGTTCTCGTTCACTACACAATGAGCAGACTTGACTATTGGAGCTGAACTCCGTCGGGTGTAGACAGAGTTACCTACCGAAGATAATAACTGAGGTTGCACGAAATCCTTAGGTTGATCAGAGTTAGACATTCACACCATTAGATACCGGCTCAGTGGTCCAGAGGTTAGGCATTCGTGCACAAGACCGATGGTCCTAGTTTCGAATCCTGCGAGTAGCGGCAGTCTTGAATATGCACTGCTGATGAGTAGCAGCTCCATACCGGGACGAAACATCCATCCAGTGTTTACAGGTTTCTAATAGTGGTCTAACAATAATTCATGCATTATTTTGCCATTTAACTGTTAGATGATGTAGAAATTATCATTTCTAAGAAAAAATAACCTGTCTAATTCAATTTTTAAATTCACCTGGGATTGCATTCTCTATTGAACATTTAAACCTTGAACGACAAGTTTCGATTTAAATAGAAAAAAAATTAGGTCATAAATATTGAGAGATAATTCAAATTCTTCTTGATAATAAAAGAAAATATCATAACCGTTGGATGAATTTGTGATTATCTGGACTCATTAGTTTAGTTGGTAGGATGTTGCTGTTTTGAATAAAAGCTAGTGAATATCAATGGGTATATAAATATATATGTTAGGTTCGCCACTAGGTGTGCTTGAAACAGTTACAGGTTCACCTTAGTCGATAAACGCGAAACAAGGCAATGAACCAGCTTCCAGGTAGGCCACCCTGATCTGCTGCTAACTAATGAAAAGTTTTGATGTAGTTTAGGAAGTATATTTTACAAACACCCATGCAAGTACAATGCAATCAAGCAGACGAATTCCGTTTATTTATGCATCATAGAAATGTCCTTGGGAAAGTCACAAAAAGAGCCCACACTAAAATACGCAGCGACCAATCACAGCCAAGAATAGTTCCTGGTGGGAAAAGAAATCTCAAGGCCAACTGATCAGCCCATGCTCGCAAACGTGAAATCCAAAATAAGGCATTTATCAAGCGAGTTCTGGGGATCCTAACGTCCCCAACAATATATACGTCAGTCAGTTAGTCAGCAGCAACGTACACCTTCGCACATACTTGCATCAATCATTTCAAGTTGCCATACCATATTAATGTACAGAGACGCGATTCAAATGCCTTAGGGCTAGATGTGATAGAAGTTGTAGAGGTAATGTAGAAGATTAGGGTTCGAAGATATTATTATTCAAGAAGTATAAACCAATAAAATAAATTTAGAAAGAGAAAGATAATGGTGATGAGAAATGCAGAAGATTAGGATTTGAAGAGAATACACAGAATGGATGCACTTGCGCCTTGGGGAATGATTTCGAACCATGCTATTCAGCGTCTCTAATCATCGGTTACTATCATTTTGTGGATTCTAACCAGGTAGTCCACCCCTACCAACATGACTCAGTCCATTTGTCACTGACTTCATGGATATATATATATATATATATATATATATATATATATATATATATAGCTGGCAAGTAACATATGAGATGATGCCTGTATCTTGCATTAACGTAACTATTTTTCCTAAGAGCCACTATCGATTTTCATTATTAACGTCTCAAGCAAGAATAATACCTATTGGTTATAACAATAAAAAATATGTACATATTGTCCATTTTAGATACAACATTCATGATAACCCAACACATCGATTTAATTTTCTTATTTAATATTTTGAAAAAAAAGTTCACTGTTTTTTGTCAGTCAAAATCAATATCATTACAAACATGTTTGTTCATTTTTGTCAAGATATTAGGCGAATCGAAAAGGTACCTGGATAACATTAGATTTATGTTTTTTAGTCAGACATTTCTAAAAAATATTGAGTATTATTATCATATAAATTAGTGACTAGCTTGGTGAGGAATCTTCTCCGACTTCTAGTTGGAAGACGTGACCAGTGAAGTTCAACCTGTTCGGGTGTAGACAGTAACTACTACCGAACACTGTGTATGAGGTTGCGCAACTCCGTGAATTGATCAAGTTAGACATTAACACCATTAGATACCGGCTCAGTGAGTGGTCTTACGGTTAGGGCGTTCGCCTACGATACCGAAGGTCCTGGGTTCGAATCGTGCGGGTTGCATGAGCGGTGGATGCACACTGCTGAGGAATCCCATGCCAGGACGAAAAGGCCGTCCAGGTTTCCTTCCAGATTTCTAATGCTGGTCTGACATTGAGCGATTCATGGTTTCAATTTAAATTTGTATTGAGTAACATGTAAGTTATTTTATCTTTGTTTGGCAGTAAGTCTAAATGGGATTAATTTTTTGACGTCTATAGTGGTTGAGTGTTAATGCTCAGTAAATATGTACAAGGCATTAGAAATCGTAGGCAGATATGTATATATATATATATATATATATATATATATATATATATATATATATATATATATATATAAGGAAATGGCTAATTACATTTTCAAAAACCTCTCTGTTTACGGTTTGTTCAGACATGTGTCTGTGATGTGCTTTTTTCACATTTTGGTTTGGTTGTAACTCAACTTACTTACTTATTGACTACTGTCAAGGGGCGTGGGGGGAGTATTCGGAGTAGTTGAAACTTTTGAAACTTTTACATAATTGATAATTGGGATAATCGGATTTGAGTAGAATGTCGTGTCGCCGGATCCTTGATCCTCGCTCTCGTTTTCTGACAAGGTAAACCCACAATAGTTCAAGTATATCAAGTTGACGTCTCTACGTTCAGGCGTAACAGCAGACTACGTAAAAAAATTCTTATTCTCAAAGTTTACTTCAAAAAAAAGCAAAACTGTTTCATTTCAAAACGTCTCAGTTATTTTCATGATTAATTACAAGTACGCATGAGAAGTAATTAAACAAAATTTTATTATATACAAAAAGTATTTCACTCGAAATTTATAATAAAATGTTTACTTACATGATTGGTAATATTAATTCACCACCACTGTGTATCACACGACCAACAGTACATTGAATGTAACCGAGAAGAATGGAATTCTGTGTAAAAAAAAGGAATAAGAAAATAGGGTGAATAACTGATCTGATATTTTTAGAAATGTACAATACAGTTGAGTTTGCGAGTGTACTGTTTTTTGAGTTCACCTGAATTGATTTTCTGACTTGATGGTCATGGGGAATGTTTATCGTTGGTTTGTGTAGACTGATATCCAAAGCAAGCTATCACTTCGAATGATCAAGTTCAGAGGAAAAGAGAAAGACTAAATAAAGGATACAGTACTCTTAGAATCCAAAGTAGGCTTAAAAAAGAATAAACAGCAGTCGAGTAGAATTGGTAAGGTTGGGCCCCGGTATAGAATGGATTGAAGAATGCCAGTCGGCGACCAATGCACCACTAGGGCTAACAGGTATATGTTAGTAAGTAAGTAAGTAAGAGTATATTGCTGGAATAATTCAAACATTTTCAAATTTCTAATGAGTATCATGATGTAAGTAGCAGAAAAGTTATGAAAAAGTAGTTTATTCATCAAATTTCAAGTCATTCTAAACATTTAGCTTTTTTTGAAAATTGTTTAATAGTTAGAAAAGATTAATGGTCTGTATAGTTTCAACCTACTATCCTTTCAGGAAGTGAGTTTCAAATTATGTGGCAGACACTATATTCAGTGAGAAGACAAACTGGATAAAATAGTTAATACAATCTGCTCACTACTGACTAGCTTCATGAAGAAATTCTTGGTGATCACTGGAGCTCAACCATATTGGATGTAGGCAGTTACTAACGAAGACAAATGTCTGAGATTGCGGAAAACCCCCAGATTGATCAGAGTTAGATATCAACATCGTTGACTAGCGGCCAACTGGTCCAGGTTATGCACCAATTCAAATTAGACAACCCTTGAGAACTTGAAAGTACTGGACGGCCGTTTCGTCATGGTATGGGACTCCTCAGCAGTGCGCATCCACGACTCCTGCACCCCCCACGATTCAAACCCACGACCTTCTTTATTGTAGGCGAAAGCCTAACCATCGGACCACTGAGCCGGTATCTTACGTTGTGATTGTCTAACTTGATCAATTCACGGAGTTGCGCAACCTCATACACAGTGTTCGGTAGTAGTTAATGTCTACACCCGAACAGGTTGAACTTCACTGTTCACATCTTCCCACTAGAACTCGGAGAAGATTCCTCACGAAGCTAGTCAAAAAAAAACTTGACAATCTTCACAATCCCGTGATGCAAACCTTTGAGAACTTGGAAGCAATGTGTTTATCAGGGTATGGATCATACCAGATGAAACCCAAAAAGCTTTGGCTTTTCAAAGTCAATGTTTACTTTCTGGTTTCATGACTTGTGTTTGTTACAATTTATTCAAAAACTGTTTATTATTCAAATAAATTTTAAAATCTGATGCATTCATCTCTTCTATTTTTTGAGCATAATTTTTCTTTGCTTCAAATTAGGTTAATTTGTGTAAATCATTATTCTCTTTTATTTTAAGATTCAATAATTCTTTTCAACAAAACGACCAGTCAATAACTATTAAACCTAATTTTTTTAATCAGTAACTAAAAAGCAGTAACAAGGTACTTAGGAATGTATGTAAGATGGTGATTGGAAGTATTAACCACGAGACCCTCCTCAACCTAAGTCTCCTGTTATATGACACATGTCAACAAAGTGTACTTTGATTCTTGACAGAACTGATTCCTCCTAGTTGGTGTGAGCCCAGTTTCACACTAGGAGACGTCACCAATAAGCGATTCGTGTCACAACTGATCTACAGAAGGATTAGGAGATATTTTTTTAAACAAGCAATTGATCATTGAGCAGTTACCAGTACGATGTATATTAAATCCTTCATAATCTTAATTGATTTCCATCAATCAAGTTACAGTATAGCTGTTAGTCTTAATGTTTCTCCCAATGTGAGTAAATACTACTCACATCTTATTATAAGTAATTAGTTAAAGACAAAACAAGGTCTTGTTTAATTTATAACACAGTTGTACAAATCGTTGTTTTTTACTTCTTAACAATCATTTACATCTGGTTTATATGTGTACGTACGTACGTACTTGAGTACATACGAAGGTCTACGTCGTAGCTGACTGACTGACTGAATAATGTCAATGCAATCAATCAATCCAATCAACAGCAACGTAGAATTTGTACCTACGTACGTACGTACATCAGTTCATGTTGCCACACCACATTAACACAGAGACACAAGTGTCACTTCGAATGCTATAGTGGTAGCAGAGGTAGTAAAGTTATTCGTAGTAATCGGAAATCTTAATTTTACGACGTTATTATTCAAGAAGTAGAATCCAGTGAAATAAACATAAAAAGAAAAAGATAAAGGTGATGATGAATAAAGAAGTTTAGGATTTGACTGAACACAAAGAGTGGATGCACCTGAGACATTGCAAACGATTTTGATCCATGTCATTCAAGGTCTCGCATGATCAATTATTATCATCTCGCGAGCCCCAACCAGGTAGTCGACACCTACCAATATGACTCAGTCCACTTGTCAATGACTTCATGGATTTCTGCCATGTTCTGGTTTGGCCTCTCTTAGCTTTCTTCCAACCTACCCCTACATCGCAAAACATAGCTTGACGAGGCAGTCAATGTTTAGGCATACGCAATACATGTCAATAAATGATGACTAATTTGTCAATTATGAATTTCTGCCATGTTTTGATTTGGCCGCTCCTACCTTTCAACGTCAATGAAGAATAATACCTATTCTCGAACGTTCTAGAACATCCTGATTGTAACAAAATTATTATAATCATTTTAACAACTTTAACTTGTTGTTATTTTACAAAACAACACTGAAACAAAACAAAACAATATCTCTATCTGTTTGTTACTCAATAATAAAAAAATATGTAGGTAGAAACGATTTAATTTATGACATGAAATTTAGTTAGAACAACAACGAATATTTCTGAATAGAGGGAAACAGATTTCCGTTTGCATACACTTCAACTAGTTCTCTCTCTCTCTCTACACTTTTATCAGGTGTTTGTGATGAGAAGAAGAGGAATAGTTTACAGCAACAACATCAACAACAAAGCTTAAACACTAGCGCCTCATCTATCACTGTTGTAATCTGGAACATCACACACTCGCACACATACACACACTTACGTACACACACACACACACACAAAGGACCGGAATAAATCAACGAATCAATTTTCATACACAAGTTAAAATGTAAATAATCATTTTACTCTACATTTCAAACTGACACACTGATTTAACGCTGAAGTTTAAGATAAAAATCATTTATCTGTGTAATAATAATAATAATTATTATTATTATTTACTCTTTTATTCAGTAAACAAGTGTTTATTTCTTATTTTCCTTTAAAAATAAAACATTTTTTATTTACACCATCAATAATTGATTTGTTTTGATGTGTAAATATGTTGAATTTTGATCAAGGAGGAGGGAAAAACAAACAAACAAGATTTTATTGAATGTTGAACGTTTTATTTCTTCTAAAAGTTTCAATAATAACCGGATGTAAATGATTGTTGAGAAGACAAGAATAATAAAACAAACAAACAATTAAACAAGATCTTGTTTTGTTTTAAACGAATTACTAACAATAAATTGTGAGTAGTATTTCCTAACATAAGGAAGAATATTTAGACTAATAGCTATGCTGCTGTAGCTTTGTTATGCTCATCTCTAGAGGTATGCTTAAATTGTTTACAGGTTCACCTATAGTCGAATAACGAGAACAAAACAATGTAGCAGCTTCCAGGTAGGCTACTGTGATCCGATTGTCACAGTTGTACTAGCAAGAAGTCTTGATACAGCGTAGGAAGTGTATTCTACAAACACCCAGCCAGTACACAATGAATCGAAACACACAAATCACGTTTATTTATACACCATAGAGACGTCTTTGGGAGAGTCACAAAAATAACATAATAAAATGACACAGTAACCAATCATAGCCAAGGATTAATGTGATCAATCTCATGGTCAACTGATCGGTCCATGAATATAATCCAAAATAAAGATGTTTATCAAGCAAGTTCTGGGGACCTAACAAGCTTGATTGATGAAAAATCAATTAAGATTATGAAGCATTTAATAAACATCGTACTGGTAACTGCTCAGTGATCAATTGATTGCTTAAAAAATATCTCCTGATTCTTCTATAGATCAGTTGTGACCCGAATCGCTTATTGGTGACGTCTCTTAATGTGAAACTGGGCTCACACCAACTAGGAAGAATCGGTTCTGTCAAGAATCAAAGTACACTTTGTTGACATGTGTCATATAACAGGAGACTTAGGTTGTTAGTGCTTTTTAGTTAATGATAATAATTAAAATAATAATTAAAACTAGATTTTCTGTTTTTTTTAATTGACTAATCGTTTTGTTGAAAAGAATTATTGAATCATAAAATAAAAGAGAACAATGATTTAAACAAATTAACCTAATTTTTTAAAAAAAACTAGTTAAAAATTCAATCTCATTTGACTTATAAACAAAAATCAACAATTGAACAGTGTATATGCAAGATTATGTTTACGAACAAATTCACTCTATCCAATGACTTCATATCAACTACAACAAAACCGAAGCCTGAAAAAGTGTAATGCATATTCTGCACATTTAAATCATCAATCAATCATTGTCACTAGACCACCATTAGAAACCTGGAAACACTGGACGACGGCCATTTCGTCCTTATTGTATGAGACTATTCATCAGTGGCAGTGCGCATCTACGACTCCTGCACCTCACAGGATTCGAACCTAGGACCTGCTTCGGTCTAGTGCACATGAACGCCTAACCTCTGGACCACAAAACGTAAGCATACTCTAATTAGTGAAGTTTTTTTTATGAGCAAATACAAATTGAAATATAAAATCCAAGAATAGCTATGCATGTGATAACTTTATTACTGATAATGAAATGAATTTATGTTTGCTCGTTTTTGTTCTGTCATTTTTTTTCAAAAACTGTAACGCATCTAACAAAATGTTCAGTGAAGCATGA